CCATCCCTCATGTCTTACCCCGCTAAATTAGGGACGGATAGCGCAGATAGCCTTCGTGTAGCTTTGAGAGAAATTCAAAACAAACAAACCGTTGGGAGTTGTCCTCTGGTGGGACAGCGGTAAGTCTACGAATTTACAACGCTAAAATCAGGAATCGATTACCCTCGGTGGTGAACACAGCAAATAGCCCGATGTTCGCTGTGGCTTTGCTACATAAAACACACACGTTTGGAGTATTGTTTGTAGTTAAGAGCAAAGCTACAAATTGGCTATCTATGCTGTGCCCACCACGTGTATCGAAACCCGGTTTTTCACGTTATAGTCCTTTAGACTTACTGCTGAGCCACTGGGGTCCCGTTTGGAGTAAATATGCTGTTCATATAACTATAGGACCGTTTTGAACGTTAGAATGTATCTTCAGTGGAAACGTTTTATTAATCACTTCGTGTTTTTTTTTTTATCAGTATAATTTTTCTTAAATAACTTGTTTTTATTTTAATTTTACTTTTTTTTTGCTCTCTTTTTTACATACGGAAAAACTAATTACATTTTGTGACAGCAAATTGTAGGTGGAATTATTTTAAAATTCCCAGAAGTAATTTGTATAGTTTTACTGATCTGTTCTTTATTTGCGACGCTAAGATAGAGAGATGTTGCTGTGTTAAACGTTGTTCTTTTGATTTTAAAATTAACAGTTCTAAAAAAAAAAAATCACAATAATCAGTAATTTCAATTTGGGGTTTAGGTTATTATTTCATATGAAAAACAACAAATAAAGTGGAACTTACTTTTCCAATTTTCACTTTAAAACAAAATCTGAAGAGATATGACACTTTTGGTCGTGTTGTCATTTTCTTGGTAAACAAATAAGTATAAAGTCCAGCTAGATCTGTCGTGTTACTGCCGTGGTATTTTAACCAACTTAGGTAAGTAAGAATTACTCACAAAGATACTACATGTATGGGAAATAAGTAAAACAGGTTACAGGGCATTATTTTTCTACTTACATAAAAATTATTTACAAGTGTCTGAAAAAGGATGTTGTAAAAGTGGTATTCCTTAAACGGATGACGTGATCAATATAATTTATGTTTATATTGTATTCCCACATCAGCTACGCTCCTGTGTTATACCATCCAGATATTGTCGTTATTTGTTTATTTATAAAGTGTTTCTTCAGAAAAATTATTTCTATTGGAAAAGTACCGATAGGGTATTCACAATGCTGATCGTGCTTGAAAACAGAAAATGTAAGACTCATTTGTTATCAGTGCAGAACGTGCTCAGCTACAAATACACTATTTGAAACAAACAATGCTGATATAGTTGGCAGATTATAGAAGTGAAAGGCCATCTAGATGTAAAGGAACCTTTGGACTTGCCTTCAGTCACTTGAACTGTACGTCTTCGGACACTGAGCACATATTATTTTCTTTCTCACAAAGGTTCATACTTGAAACTCTGAAGACTTCAAACTCAACACTAAATACAATTCCCTCAGTAAAACTGCTTTTCTGTTTTATTACAGTTTTAATCATCTTAACTGAGCAATGTACTTTAGTTTCGAAGAAGAGAAGACCGTCGACAAGATCTATGGAAATGACGAAGGTATGTAATTTAGAATCGTTACTGGTTGAGTTTAGGTTTGTACTTGCTACAGTTTTAATCACCGTAAATGAATAATTCACTTTAATTTCGGAGAAGAGAATATGGTCGACAGGAGTTATAGAAATGATGAAAGTAAGTAAGTTAGAATCATGTCTGATTTATTTTTGATTTGTATTGCAATTTCAAGAGACACAGTATTGTGTCGTGCGGCCAAAACAACCTGCAGGGCACACTGCGTGTTATTAATAGGAGTGATAATTTAGCGATTTTCCACCTTCTGTAGCTCGGACTGTAGTAATCCAAATTATTACATATTTTCAATGGATATGCTCTATTGAACTCTTACTTCACATACCAAATTTCAAGGCAATCCATTAAGAAATACACGAGATATAAAATCTCCAATCTTGATTGAATTTTTCCTTTTTTTTTCCTATTCGCACCGAAAGTGCGGAAACGTTATTTGATAGAAAAACATACTTAAGTTTTATAGATTTTTTTCAAGGTTGGTACACTGATAAATCTTTACAATTAGATGTCAAATTTGGTTTAAACATAAACCACATGTGCAAAGTTATTCAACAAAAAACACTCAAATTTGACCAAAAGTTTTGCGCACGCCTATGCAGAAAGTCACGTAAGCTATTGGTCTGAAATTTCTACTACAGCTTTACTAAGATTGTTTGTTTGTAGTTAAGCACAACGTTACACATGGGCTATCTGTGCTCTGCCCACCACGGGTATCGAAACTCGGTTTCTAGTGTTGTAAGTCCGCAGACATATCTCTGTGCCACTGGGGGATAAGGTGAAAGGACGTTCAGATACATAAGTATTGGTTAGGCCAAGCAAACTAGATTAGCAGTTTCTAGCTCAAGTTTTCAAACGAATCGTACTGGTAGACGGTTATCATTGATTATTCATTGTAAAATTTTCAGCACAAATTTCTTAAATTTTATGAAATTATTATAATTAAAGAACGTTTAGTGTCACGTGATATTAGCTTAAGCAATTAGCGTAAATAATGATGCTTTATAAGTCTGTACAAATTGCATGGGGTGATGACTAGAAACTGTTAATCTAAATTCCATGGCGTTACTGTAAAGAAAATTATTAATTAACACTGTTTTAGAGAGGAAAACCCCTGCTATATATTTTAAAGAATCTGGTTGGTTCTGTAAAGTAAAGGTCTGTTCCGAGTAACAGTGTCACTTCCTTACTTGCTTTGTTTGTTGTTGTGTATTGACAAAAAGTCATGATATCTAATCAAAAACATCTTACGTGTGAAAAAGGTGTGGCCAAAAAAAGGATTGAGCGTACGACTTAAAGGAATGAAATCGATAGTGGCGGCCAAATTGGTAGTTACACTTACAGCAAATATTCATTCATTAGTTAGCTAGGCTGCGTATTTTGTTTTACCCACTATCATGCTCCAAGTTGAACAAAAATGGATGCTAACACACAATGGATCATCTTTATAGTAAGATTTGAACAAACAGTCATAGCCCCTACAATCACCTGTCATGATTTTTTTTAAATCCTAAAGAAAACTGAATGGGAAACAATAAAGGATTTTATCATTTCATTTCATTTGTTTCAACAGGAGTGCACAGCGCGCAAGATGGCGCGAGCTATGCATTGACGTAACGTGCAGCGAGCTACAAGTCATTTAATAGGTGCTAAGGGCAAACCTCGTAATGTAATAGACTTGGCGTATGCTTATATTTACCTGATAACTTATTTCTTGTTTAATTTGGATCATTCTGTTAGGAAACAGATACATAATCAACTGATGGGGTCCAGCGTGGCCTAGTAACTAGTATCAATGGCCTGGTACTGCAAAATCAGGCTCTGCACTTTAAGGCTATAGTATTGTTATGTATCTGCTTGTTTGTTAATTTCCGTTAGAAATTCTTTCTAGGAACTTCAGCGATAAAAGTCCTTTCTTGATTAAACCAGTTTATTCTTTCTCGATACAAACTTTTAGAACACAGTAATTGCACAGTCAGTACGTTTCTCTTCACTTTAAACTTGAAAACTTTTATAATACATGTTATAAATCACAGCAATTTACAATCTTGATAACTTCGCACTCGACGAGTACAAAACACACACTTTATTATTTCCGGTGGCTTTCTCTGCCAGGCTTATATACTAAAGAAGAGGGCGTCTCGAACAAACTCGGTCTGCCCCGATAATTCGAGAAATTTCACGCATGCTACCAGCGCCACGTGACTTCCGCTGTTGTAACACTTCCCCTTCCTTAGTATTGTTCATCCCGAACAATAGCCACTTACATTAAACCAATAGATAATTAATAATAACTAAGTTAATTGTACAGAATTTACAAACAAAATTAAAATACAAAAAGTCTCTTAATTTTACAGGACGTTTTTTTTGTACTGGTCTCCATCTCATTGGCTTCTACTTCACATGGAATTCATCTGCTCCATTAGAAAATGTCTCATTATTGGTAGTAGTCACATTAGTGGTAGTAACTTCATTAATGGCTTCACTGTTTTCCTTCTCAAAACTGGTAAAGTTTCTTCTTCAACAGTGGCTTTTTCAGGTGACACGTCTTCAGTAGCATCATTTATTCTGTTGTTCATTTTGTTCCAACTGAAATGTCCTGGACCATGATAACGCCAAAGCCTGTTGGCATGCGCCACTTTTGGCTCACCTCGCGGACCACATTTTAGTCGGAAATTCACGTCTGAGAGACGATCCACTATGTCATATGGGCCTTCCTATGGAGAAGACAACTTAGGAGACTTCCCTCTGGTCTTCCTGGGATTATACAACTACACCTTGTCTCCTGGTTCAAAGCGGACTTCAGTAGATCTCTTATCATAACATAGCATCATGGAATCACAGACGTTTTTAAGTTTGAATGCACTTGATGATGAATATCATCCATTCTTTCAGATAACACTTTCACGAACCCTGGCAAACTTTCAGTCAACTCTTCAAAAATTGGGCATCCTGTTATCAGGTCCACTGGCAACATAAGTTCCCGACCAAATATCAGCTTTGCTGGAGTGTATCCAATGGCTTCGTGCTCTGCTGTTCTATAGGCCATCAACAATGGAGGAAGTAAGACATCCCAGTCATCTTGGCAGCTATTACAAAACTTTGCCAATTCCTGTCCCAGTTTCCAATTGTACTTTTCTACCATCCCATCAGACTGTGGGTGAAGTGGCGTTGTCCTGGTCTTTCGTATGCCAAACAACTTGCAGCATTCATGGAACACAGCTAATTCCAAGTTACGGCCTTGATCAGAATGCAGTTCGTATGACATACCGAACCTGAAGAACAACTCACTAATAGCCGAAGCTAAAGTTGTAGCTTTTTGATTTGGTATTGCATATGCCCCAGGCCACTTGGTGAAATAATCATCACCACTGAAGAGCCTGTGATGATGACAAATGGACTATGCTCTTCTTATAGAGGTCAGTTAAATGTTCTGTGAGAGGATGTCCTTTCTTTATGGTTGTATTTCTTGCCTTAACATTGACTAGCTCTACCTCCTGGCACACATCCAACAATGCCCCTTCCTTAAGTGTCTGCTCACATTTAGAGAAATTAGCAACTGTTATGGGTACTACTTGATGACTTGCCACAAGTGACCTTCCATTCTTCACGTCCGCTGGCCTAAATGGGTCTTCCACTGCTTCCACAAGCATCGGGCTTCCTTGGGGATGTTCTTTCATTCTACCCCAAATTATCTTTTCTGACATAGGGGTGTTTTAGTTGACTTAAGTGCTGTGACATGCAAATCAACAGATGCAGCAACACTTACCGGAATGTAGCCTTTGTTGTTCCCAAACGTCATTTTATCAAAGTTAACTACACACTTCCTCGGTAGTATGTAGTCCAACCCTAATGTGCATGGGTCTTCTTGGAATCTTTGCACTGGACTTAACATAGGATTCGAATCCAAGAGCTCTGTCCATTGCATCCTGCAGAGTAGTGGGGTGTGCTTGATTCACTTGTATCTCCAGTTGTGGACTGTCAAAGGCATTTACAAACTGATCCCTCAGCAACAGCTTGAGGACATCAGGTGGTTCAGACTCTTGTCCTAAACCTAGCCCTGTATACTTCGGACTGATTTTGAGTTCCACACCAGATTTCTAGAGCAGCTACCAGTGCTCTATAGTTGTACCTATCATCTGCTGATAACTGTCCAAGTATTTCCAGTAGTTGTCCCTTCAAGCTCGTTGCCAGGTACACTGCTTTCTGCTCCTCTGTCCATCCATTCATTTCTACCAGGAGCTCAAATTATGCTCTATATGCTTCCCATGGTGCCCTCCCATCGAATATTTGTGGCTTCCTTCGTACTAGATTACCCCTATTGCTGACACTAATGTCTGGAATGTGACTTCTTTCAGGACCACAGATGTCTGCATTAGGGTTTAGCGGCAGGGTCTGGGAGGGGCTTCCTGTTGTCTGGGGTTGATTAGGTCCATGGCTAACATATCCTCCTTGTGTATAAGACAGTAAGTCGTCCTTTAATGTATTTAATTCACTTTGAAATTCACTAATCTTTCACATTTGTACTTCTTGTTTTCTTTCTTGTTCCAGCTGTCACTGGTGCTGGTTTTCTTGCCACTGCTGTAATCTCTCTTCTTGTTCATTTTCTTTCTCCTCCAACCACTGCTGTAGCCTCTCTTCTTGTTTATTTTCTTTCTCCTCTAACCACTGCTGTAGTCTTTTTTTCTTGTTTATATTCTCGTTTCTCTTGTTTCTTTTGCTGTTCTTGTATTGCTGCCATCAAATCTGCTAAGTCATAGTTTGATTTGCCACTTCTCATATCCCTCTTTTTTCTTTTTTTTTCTGTCCCGCTCTCTGACACCAATTTGTTACGTATCTGCTTGTTTGATACTTTCCAGTAAAAATTCTTTCTAAGGATCTTCAGCGAAACAAGTCCTTTCTTGATTAAACCAGTTTATTCTTCCTAGATACAAACTTTTAGTACACA